CCGTTGTCATTAAGGGTCGAAATTGCTTACCCTTGTATTCGTCATCGCGTGCTACCCCCCCCCCCCCCCCCCGACGGTTTGAAGGACAGACTTACCGAAACTTTATTATACGCTTTCACGTCGATTTAAATGTTTAAAGTATTTATGTAGTGTATATTTTATTTTTCTAATATTTTTTGTATTTTAATTGTATATTTTTTTGGTAATGGAGTGTCGACTGAAATTAGTTAGGGTAGCTTAGGTTTTTGTCGCGGCGGGAGTTAAAAGTCCCGAGTTCTGCGCGTGAGCAGGCGAGGGCTCAGAGCAGCGGTGCCAGGTGAGGGCGCAGTGCCAGATGCTCCGTCGGGACTACGCCATATTTCCCTTAACTGCTGATTGTTAGCGGGCCCTCAGAAGGGGTGAAGGCCGTGTGCGTGGAAGGGCGAATGCGCGTGGCGCTATGCTGCTCCGTCTGAGGCAGCTGGGGCAGGCGGCGCTCCTGCTGGCGGTGGCGGCCAGCCTGGTGCTCCTGTTCGCGGGGCGCGAGCTCAGGCCCTCCCCCGGGGGCACGGCGCCCGTGGCAGCGCGCCCGGGGCCCAGCCAGCAGGGGCGGGGCCTGGGCGGGGGGCAGGGGGGCGAGGAGGAGGAGGAGGAGGAGGAGGGGGAGGCCAACCTGCCGCCGCAGGAGGCCGTTCCGCTGAGCTCGCAGGAGAACGACCTCCTGTACAGGCCGCCCCTGGACATCGCGCTCATCTTCACGCACGCCAAGGACAACGCGCCCTTCCAGTCCAAGCTCCGCGTCGCCGTGGGGTCGCTGCTGCGGGCGGCGTCGGCCCCCCTGCGCCTGCACCTCATCACGGACGCCCACGGCTTCCACATCGCGTCGCAGGTCATCAGCGCCGTGCAGGCGGGCAGTCGGCTGGACTCCAGATACGTCAAGGTGAGGCCCGGCGCTGGGGCCTAGGGGCGGGGGGCGGGGGTAGGGGGGGCTTGGTGCATGGCTTGAAGGAACGAAGCTTGGTGGGTTGGGAGCTGGCTTAGGAATTCTTGCGTAACGGATTTGTTTCTTGTTTTAGGCAAAGGTTTGGTATTTTTGGAAAGCGAGCGACTATTTACGGTAACGCAGTGAGGCGTCTATTAACGGGAGTTCTGATCATGCGTGCGTAGTGTGGAATTCTTCCTCTACCCACGGCAGGATAGAGTGCATGACCGACGTGCAGGGTTCCTGATGCCGATGTCTGTCCGACATTCTTTCCTGCCATGAATACGAGGATGATTCTCTGTTTTCATGGGCTGGGGTTGGGGTTAGGAGCCCCTCGTGAGGAGGGTCGCTATGGCACATGACACTAACAATGAATGTTAGAGCTAATAAAAATTGTGATAGAGGTAATTATTCAGATTACCTTCACATGACCAATCATGACAGTAGTGGTATCGATAGATTCCTCTCACCCTCTACCACCCAAGTAGCCTGTATAGGACTGCCGTGGAAACCCCAAACCCCCACAGTCTTGTACAGGGAAATTGCAGTGTAAAACAGGAATTATATAAAACAAAATATGTCAATATGATAATTGTATACAAAGAATAAGTCACTTTTTTGTCTAATGCGGGACACTAACCCCCGCCCAAAAGACAAAGAATTCTCGACCTATTCATGAGAGGATACAGCATACAGCAAGACCTGATAGATGGATGATGAGGATCTGGCATACCCCACATTCTAGGCAATATGTGATGCTGACTTTATCTCAGGTTGATATGCCGATACTTGAGGTACTTTCCTGTACCCATGTGATTCGCTATTACTCCGTCTGCCATACACATCCTAAAATTTATTCAACAGTCTAAGTTGCCATGTTTGGACTTGCCCTTTGAGTACTGCCCGTGGCGATACCATTATCTTTATGATCAGTCGTGCAGAGGTGTTCTGAATAATTACTGTACTAGATAAATCACATGATGATAGAATTTATTGAAATTCAGATAAATTCTATTGCAGCCGGGCAGTGTAAAAGATACTGGGAAAACATTTTTTCTCCCCTCAATGACATGGAAATAACAAAAAGTAGTCCCATAACCCAGCAACCCAGTGGATAAAACATTTGATAAAGCAGAGTGAGGTATATTGGTACATTTTTTTTCTTAACCCATTCGCCATGGATTTATGTTCTGTCCCCTGTAGTTTTTAGTGAATTTTGTTACCAACAGATGGCTCCACATGTGCTCAGCCGGCAAGGAGTCTATCAGTAGGCCCTAGTTACTGACCCTGATTTTCCCATTCATTGAACTGGTGGGAAAACTAATACCATTGCTTTCGATACTGTTATTATTGTTATTGATGTTATGCTTATTGAATTGTCATTAGAATATTTTTGACAATGAAATGATACAAAAAACCTTTTCCTAAAGTGAAGGAAAAGGGTAAACAGGTGAAATAGGTAGTTCTTGATAACTGGCTATTTGGTGATTAAAAACTTGTGGAGCCATCTATGTGTAAATAAATAAATAAACGTGTATCAAAGTGGGTATGGCATCTATTCTTGCCATATGTGGCGAATGGGTTAAATTGTTATGATTTTAAGGACAGGAAGTTAGGGCACAGGATTAGTATATTTGAGAGAGGCCATTCAAAAAGTGCTAATACCATTTTTTCTAAACTTGAAAAATTTAAGTGTACAGGTTAACCATTGAAAACCAATGCATAAAACTTCCCTTGGCAAAGATCTGAATCAACACTGCTAAACATATTGCACCTGATTGTTTGCATATGAATTGAAATGTCCTTTTACAGTGCTTTTATTCATCGGCTACATGTAACAACAAATTGGCATCAGTAGTGAAGGAGAGAGCTCTGCCGCAGGATTGTGGGTTCTGTGCATTCCTGGGGCTCTTCATATTGCTAGAACATGCTGGGAGGGATGGTTGTGGACTTGGCAGGGTGGTTGCTCAATTGCTGTTGCATGAATATTAGTTGATGGCCTTGAGAATTATGTTTCTGTTTGTTTGATGAACTCTCATGTTTTTGCTCCACATTTTTGTGGTATACCTCAAGCCTGCGGCACCTAGATAGTTGGGGCAGTATTGTCACTGATAGTCAGCATTGAATAAAAGTACTAAAATTATATGGCACACATAATTAGCATTCCTTTGATGCTACTTTTGTTAGTATTAGTGATGCAGGCCTTGTATTTCAGAATAAGCTAACTCGTCAGGAAAAATATATCAGTAATACTCATTTCTGTAAAAAATATAATTTGAGCATACTTTCCACAAGTAATTGATTTAAGGAGCAGTTGCTTTCGTTCACATTTCATTATGTCAAGTATGCATCCACTAACATGATTCGTTAAAAATGTTGCATCCAGAGTAACTAGATGCCTAAGACTGAATATGAAATGACAGGTGCATGACAAGAAGAGCAAACTTGTGCATCATAGGACCATGTGACAGTCTTTGCCATAACAGGAATACAGAGAGACTTTTATACCCTTTTTTTCGTCTGTCATTCATTTGTCCTCTTGACTCTATGAACTTGTTAAAGTTTGTAGACTACAGTGTTTTAACTACTGCGGAGCTATTACTGAGGTCTTAATCTTTACTTATGTATGCTTCTGACATTTAGACTTTAACTCTGTTAGTTAAGGGAACAAAAGACAGGTGTCTTGCACCATATTCCTTTGGCCTAATATGTGTGGCAGGTGGAAGCATTTCTAAAGATGATATATACTCAAGTGTTGTTATGTTACAATACCCTGTATAGTAATTGACTTTATGACAGGTGTTCTGTGTTTCCTAATCTGATCTCTGTATATGATGGTCGAGGAGTGTGTATATTATGAATCACTTAGGCTGTATCTCAATTTATATCTCACACACACACACACACACACACACACACACACACACACACACACACACACACACACACACGTACACACACACACGTATACACACACACACGTATACACACACACACGTATACACACACACACGTATACACACACACACGTATACACACACACACGTATACACACACACACACGTATACACACACACACACGTATACACACACACACACGTATACACACACACGTATACAAACACACACACACACACACACACACACACACACACACACACACACACACACACACACACACACAACACACACACACACACAACACACACGTATACACACACACACACGTATACACACACACACACGTATACACACACACACACGTATACACACACACACGTATACACACACACGTATACACACACACGTATACACACACACGTATACACACACACACACACACACACACACACACACACACACACACACACACACACACGCACATACACACACACACACACACACACATGTACACACACACACACACACATGTGTGTATGTGTGTGTATATACATACTGTGTGTATGGAGTCCTATTTGCCACAATTGAGCACGAGTCGTTTAAAAGTAGCAGGCTGTTTTCCCACGCCTTTTGCACTGTGAATGAGACGTATGTAGTGTTTGCTAATGAATGTGGTTCTTTTCTGGTAGGTTTCTTATACCAACTCCAGGAATTGAAACACAAATTAAATGAATTTGCTATAGATTATAGTTGCCTCACATATCAAATATATATTGTAAAACAAGGAACTCCCTTTCTATTGCATTTTATGTGTACACAGAGCACAATTCTGGATTTGCACTGTCCTTCCTCTTTTAATATACTCATAGTATCTGAAGATGGACCAGTACACATGAATAATTCCATTTTAACACTCATGTCTCACTGTCTCCCTACAGCTGGTGTACGTAGCAGCGGAGGATTTCATCCCGGAAATCGAGAGCTCGGTCACTGTCCTGCAGGATTTCTTCACTACGAGGAGGGACGCCTACTACCGAGACGCGCTGTTCTTCTTCTCCCTCTTCTTGCACAGACTTCTGCCGGGCTTGGAGCGTATCATGCTCATGGATATAGATATTAAGGTAAATTGGAAATGCCAGTTTTCTTAAAAGGTTTATGATTGTTTTGTTTCATTGCACTTTGATGTTTTTTATGTGGGGGGGAAAGAAGTATTGTAAGGATAGTTAGCATCACTTCACTTTGGGTATCTTGGTCAGGGTTATACAAAAATTTCCCTTGATAAGATGTAGATCTACATGATAACGTTCTTGTGCAGTGAAGACGGCAGACGATTTATTTGATATTCAGAGTATTTGATAATTTTCTGTCTGCATCTAGTCCTTTTGTGGTATTTATTGTTAACGTTTATTTTAGTTGGATATTTATTTCCTTAATTTCTAGTATTTGTCCTTGGTTTCTTCTTTTCTCACTTCCTTCAAGCCTGTATTCTTATTTAATTCTTTAAAACGTCTGCATTGTTGTCAGCCATGCTTCTTTCAGTACAAATTTTTTCACCTCATTTTAATTTCTGTTTCACACAAAAATACAACCACAAAAAACTTTTGCTCTGAGTATAGATGATCAGAGAAAAAAAGACACACACATTTGGCAGCTTTTCTTGTTTGAAGGCTTCATTCCCATAAAAAAAAAGGACATGATTTCTCTTCTCACTCCCCCCCCCCCCTGCTCTCTCTCTGAAATTGCTCTCCCTTTTTTTCTCTTAGTCAATTGCTCTTTCTCTCCCTCCCTCTCTCTCTCTCCTCCTTTCCCTCCCAACTGCTTCTCCATCTTCTCCCCCCCTCTTTCTTGTTCTCTTTCCCTTTGTCTTTTTTCCTTACCCTTTCTCTTTCTCTTTTCCTTTCTCTTTCTCTCATTCTCCCTCTTTCCTTTGCTTCCTATTTATTTCTATTCCTTAGTTTTCTCTCTCTATCTCTTTTTCTATTTCTATCTCTTTCTCTATCTCTCTCCCTTCCTCTCTTTCCCTTTCTCGCATATATAAGTACCTGTAATCCGAGCACATGTAACCCCGAGTTCCTTCTCTCTTAATGGCAGGTGAAGGGAGACATCGCAGAGCTGTACTCCCACTTTGAGCGCTTCAGCCCGACCAACGTGATAGGGATGGCCCTCGAGCAGTCTCCCGTGTACCTCCACCTCCTCTCGCTCTATCGCCGCAGCAACCCTAAGACGACCCTGGGCAGTCCGCCGGGTCAGGGTGGCTTCCCGGGCTACAACAGCGGCATCGTCTTGGTCGACATCGAGAGGCTCAGGAACTCCAAGATCATTAGTATGTGTCGCAGTGTTGTTTCTGTTTAGTGCTGTTGTTATTTTTCTTGTTTGCTTTTTTTTTTTTTTTTTTTTTATATATATATATGCCTTGCTTCCTGTTTTTTTGTTTGTTTATTTTTCTCTCTTGTACTTTATTATAATGGTTAAAGTTTTAGAGCATGGTAATATGTCCTAGTCACACCCTTAAGATCATTATCAGCGAACGTGTTATCTTCTTTCTGCATTTTTCTTCTTCTACCTTTTCTTCATTTTCTTCTGTTTCTCCTGTTTTTCCATTTTTATTATTTTTTTCTTTTTCTCCAATCCCTTCTCCTTTTCATTCATGTTCTCATTCTTCCTCTCCTGCTTTTTTAGTTTTTCCTCTTCCTCTGCATCTTTCTCCTTCATCTCCTCCTCCTCCTACTCCTACTCCTCCTCCTCCTCCTCCTCCTCCTCCTCCTCCTCCTCCTCCTCCTCCTCCTCCTCCTCTTTTTCTCCTCTTATTTCTCCTCCTCCTCTTCCTCCTCCTTGTCCTCTCTTTCTATATATTACCCTAACATATGTTGCAAGATAATTTTTTTTCCCATGAAGTTTTGATGAATGTTGTAACAGTTCATTGCCAATTAATCATTCATACTGGATTGGAAAATGAATGTTTAATTGTGGTACTTGATCCTGACTATTTGTAGAGGTCTAAGTCCATTTATTAACCCATTCGCGCCGGGTAAAAATGAAAAAAAAATGGGGGAAAATGCTGTGCTCAATTTTTATACTTTTTGTGAAATTTTTCTACACTAGATGGCTCTGCCTTACCTGATTTCATTTGGCGGGAAAATGTATTTTTACTTTTTGCTATGAATATTGATGGTTATTTTTATTATAAACATTATAATTACTATAATGTTAGTAACAGCAAAATAAGATAACGTATATTATTTTCGTAAATTAAAGAAAAGGGTAAACAGGCGAGACAGGCAGTACAAGTACAAGTGCAGCCATCAATGTGTGAAAACAATCAAACAAGTAAACTCACAGTGGGCCCGTCACATATACGGGACACCCGGCGTGAATGGGTTAAGTAAGCATGAATGAAGCTGGTAATATCATTTAATCCTTGAAAGTGCATCACTATGAGGTGTGCTGATTTTTGAATAAAAGTTTTTTTTTTTTTCTCTCTTATAGATAGATATTTTGTTTTATTGAAGCTACTTTTTCATTGCAATACTGGTTACAACACCTGCAACAGTGTGCATTTAATTCTGACTTGGTACAGTATTTGTGTTGGTCACTATATCATAAAGTCTGTTCTCAAAACTATCCCTACATCTTGCTTTGTGCCCGTTCAGGAAAAAGACATGAAGAATGTTTGCTTTTTTAAATTATTATTATTACTTTTATTATTATTATTATTATTATTATTATTGTTATTATTACTATTATTACTTCTTTTGGTGTGTGATTTCAGAGTTGCTTTTTGTACAGTAATTGCAGTGAGCTTTATTTCATATCTCCAAGCACTGCAAAAAGTAACAAAATGATGTCTTTGCATTGCCAATTATCCTCATATTATATGCCAGTAGATTGTCATATATTTCAATTTCAAACTACCCCATTTTGGATGACCTCTGACAGTGTGTCTCCCTCTTGCAGGCAGATACTTGTCTCGATCAACACTCACAGAGAAGACAAAACAGTACAGCTTCCAGGGCCACTTGGGGGACCAGGACCTGTACACGCTTATTGCCTTCGACCACCCTGAGCTCTTCTACACTCTCCCCTGTGGCTGGAACCGACAGCTGTGTGAGTGGTGGAGGGGGCATGGGTACCAGACAGTGTTCAACCAGTATTTCAACTGCACGGGCGAGCTCAAGATCATACATGGGAACTGCAAAACCGAAATTCCAGAAAACTTGTGATATTGTCCATGCCCTCCACTGGTATGGGACCAGCATTGTTGACAGTCGTTGGCTTTTACATACCTCAGCAAAGGAAATTGGGTAAAACATTCCTATCATAAGTTATTGATGTAAACCTTCATATTGGAAAATCTCACCAAATGTGTAGGCAGTCCTTCCACAATACCATAAATGTTTTTATATGACCTTTCTTAAAAAAAACAACACATAAACACAACCAAGGTAAGAGAGTGGTCCTCTGTTAGTAGCTTTCTGCTGTGATAATTCTTTGTTCCCTACCTGTGCTGTGATCTCTGGTAAAGGAAGATGGAAAAGATCTTTTTATATATTGCGTCGGCTTTTTATAAAGTGTATGGAACGGTAATGTAACTAAGGACATGCTAAATAGTGTGGCATTAATAATAGGTGTGAGCTGTGGATTGGAAAGCAATAGGGTTTGCTTTTTTGTTTTTCAGAATATTATATATATAAAGTTTAAAGATTCTTCGGCAAAAACAATTTTTACCTCAATTTTGTACAATTTGAAATAACAGTTTACAGCTGTTGGTTGCTAAGTAGGCAATTGCATTGTATTATGAGGAGGTGTAGACAAAAGTTTTGATATTTTTATTTTCATTATCATTGTAGTTAAACTGAATTGCCTGGGCATAGAAAAGTGTAACTTGGAGCACATACTTCTCTATTTTTTTTTAATACCATTTGTAATATTTAAAGGCTGTGAGTTGTGTTCAAGGCAATGAATAATCTAACAAGAGAACAAGTAAATGTTCGGTTTATCTGTCTGATGCTCTTTTGTCCTTCTTGCCTCGTTTGGTTGTCTGGTTGCATGTTTATTTAAATTTTTGTGCATTTGTCTGTATGCCTACACCTATGATCTTGCAGTGAATGAGTGAAAGAACGGTGTGTGGTGTGGTGTGTGTGTGGTGTGTGTGTGTGGTGTGTGTGTGGTGTGTGTGTGGTGTGTGTGTGGTGTGTATGTGGTGTGTGTGTGGTGTGTGTGTGGTGTGTGTGTGGTGTGTGTGTGTGTGTGTGGTGTGTGTGTGGTGTGTGTGTGTGTGTGTGTGTGTGTGTGTGTGTGTGTGTGTGTGTGTGTGTGTGTGTGTGTGTGTGTGTGTGTGTGTGTGCGTGTGCGTGTCTGCGAGAGAGAGAGTGAGAGAGTGAGTGAGAGGTGTGTATGTGTCTGTGTATTTGTGTGGTGTGTGCGTGAGTGCATGCGTGCGTGCGTGCGTGCGTGCGGGTGTGCGTGTGTGTGTGAAAGAGAGAGAGTGAGAGCGAACGCTGAAGGCCTCAGTCTATGCATACATATGTGTTTGCACAAGAAAGCCTAAAGCATTACTAAGCAAAGTATAGAATTTATGTGAATGGCATGCATGGGAGTGCATTGCAGTTGTTTTTAAGAAGTGCAGTTTATAGTTAAAGCCTCCTTGTGCAGAGACCATTGTTATCATGTATACTTACACTATGCTTATGGTAGGTTAAATATGTACATGTATATATGAATCTATGCATAATGTTTGTTTAACTGTAGTTTCCAAGTTGGGACTTAAAAAGAAATATGGGTGCATAGGTAAACATAAATGAGCATATATATCCATATGTGATTGCATGTGTAGAGATAGGTGAACTCTTCCAGACCTCAGTGAATGCATATATATATATATAGATATATGTGAATGCATAGGTAAACATATATGAATACATATTTAAAGACATAATATAAAAGTTGTATACATTCAAATTTAAAAGTGTACAGATGTATTTACATATTGACATTCATACACATATGTATACATGCAATTACATGTGCACACACACACACGTGCATATGCATATGTGCGTGTGACTTACTTGGCTTGTAAATTAGTAATATTTTTTTAAGTAGACAGTGTGTTATGTATTTTTTCTAAATGAAAAAAGAGAACAAAAAGATAATGGAAAGAATCATGAATATGTACAAATTTTTGTATGTGAAACAAGGTTTTGCATAATCTTAGGTGTTGATTCATGCACATCTGCATGACTGTGTTGTGCAGGCAGGTCTCTTTTATATGTGGAAGGTAAATCTCAACAGTTTGTGAAATCAGAATGGTAGATTGCAGCTAGCTATTGCAATTGACAGAGAAGGCACATAGAAAAAAAAAAATTGCTGAACAGATAGCTAGAATACGATAGCCATCAGTTCTCCTCAGAATTTGCTTTCATTGAAAAAGAATAAAGTGTCAGGAGTTTGGAATCCAAGTTGGATCTGAGGAATGATATTTTTGGTGGTGTGGATGGTAATGCAAGATTATGTATTTTTATTTTATTTTATTTTTTTATTTATTTCTTTTTTTTCTTTTTTACTGTGGAGGTATTTTTGTACTAGAGATCTGTTTCTCTTAAGCACTTATAATTATTCATTCCCCCCCCCTCCACTCCCCCATGTTTCTTGCAGGTCAGTATGATATTCAATTTGTGTCGTTGTTTACTCTTTCATTGACAGTAATTTCCTGTTTATGTTGATGTAGACGATGATGTGGACGTGGTTGTCCGTGGATGCTTTTGATATTTCCTACGTTGTGTGAGGGTTTTTCTTTGTCAGAGTAAGTTGCTGATGGGGCTCGTGCCTCCTAGTTTGGAACATGTTTTTTTTATCTGTAATTCAGGTAAGAGATATTGAATTATGATATACTGTGCAGTATGTATAGATACATATATGTATATGTGTGTAGACATATATATTTGTAATTTTTTATACCAGTCAGTGAACTTGTCAAAATTATCTGGCATTGGATGAAATCACATAATGGATTATGTGCTGCTCATATTTTGAATACAGTGGCAGTTGTATCATTTCATTTGAAATATTGTTTCTGCATATTATTGGAAGTGATAGCAATTTTCACAGAGTCAAAGTTTTCTTTGATAGATTGATCATTAGTATCGCAGTCTTATTTGGTGAAGTCTGTTTTCATATTATATCTGTTTATCCTGTTTATCTTCTCAATGTCAAGTTTTATTTTATGGTACTAAGGGCTTGGGGTATTGAAAATGATAAGAAATTCTAAACGTAATAATATCTATATTTTTTTTTATGTAAGAAGTAACTAAATTCTCTTAAATTTTTTGATACCAGTTAGTGAACTTGTCTGACTTATCTGGTATTGAATGAAATCAGGTAATGAATTGCACTGCTGAATAGTGTGGCAGTTTGAGAATTTAGTCTTTATGGTATTATTTCAGTTGAAATATTGTGTCAGAATGTTAAGAGACTTAGAAGTAATAGCCGTTCTCACACACAGGCTGACTTTTCTTTGATGAAATGATCATCATTAATTTTTCTTCAAAGATACTATTATTTTATATACATTTTTATTTCATTGTTTCTAAAGTATTTACACTTTTCAGTCATGTGATTCTCATAGAAATACTTTTAGAATGTCATTCCTATGCTGCATACTTTTTTTGCTGAGTGATATAGAATCTTCATTGCTAGTGTTGAATAATTTTAGTTTTGTTTTAGAACTGGTCAGTTTGTTTATCTGTCTATAATATCAGGTGGTGGATTTTTTTTTCTTTATAATAAATATAGGGAAAATGTTTCTAGATATACAGTATCTACTTAGAATATGCATGCGTAACCATTTCCAAAGAGGCATTCTGGCCTTAATAAAGCTAAGTTAATAATAGCACAGATATTGATGGTCAGAATCAAAGGCAAGGGATCAAGGAGTGAGGAGCTGTTGCTTGCAAAAAACATAATTTATTGGCAAGCCCGAAAGAGGCCTTCTCTTTAGACCTCCGTTTCCTCCTTTCAAGATTCGAGGGAGGCACTTTGACTGCTTGGCGAGTGAGAGGAGCCTTGTTTGCTCAGTTTAATTGAGGATGAATGCACCTCTTGCAAAATTGGTCATGTTAAAGAGAATGTAGGATGCTATCGATAAATGGAGGTTCCAGTGCTTTGTTGGTGAAGTCAAAGGAATGCAAAGGTATTGAGAGGTTTCCAGAAATATTTTATAAGGAGTCTTGAATATTTTTATTCATGTCGAAACTCAGAGTATTGGTAAAGAACATTAGGCATTTACTTAAACACTTTCTAGAGCATATTTTTGGAGAATCTGTTCTATGTTTCTGAAATTGAGTTTATTTATATACATCTATTTTTTTTTATTTTTCTTTTGTAACACCAAGACCAATTAATGCAGACTGAATGCAAGTGTGAAGACCTACTATGAAACATTTGGATAATGTATTGGTGTATAGTAATCCAAGAATGATTTTGTAGCACAAGGACCATAGCAGATTATATACAAGTTTCTTGCCAGTATCTGTCACGTGAAAAGAAAAAAAAAAAGTATCCGTCAGTTATTGGTAACTCCTCGGACTGTTAAGTGAAAGAACAGTTCTTGGCTGTAAATCCAACTAGTCAAGGTAGCTTTAGTCTTCCCTACTTTTAACTAGTTCATGTCTGATGGCACTGGGAGGCAGTGAAGGAATTAAATTATTTATGATATTGCTGTGGTTTGAATATCCATCCTTCTTCTATGTTTAATATTAAAGGCAGTGAGTGAGTGAGTCAGTCAGTCAGTCAGTCAGTCAGTCAGTCAGTCAGTCAGTCAGTCAGAGAGAGAGAGAGAGAGAGAGAGAGAGAGAGAGAGAGAGAGAGAGAGTGAGTGAGTGAGTGAGTGAGTGAGTGAGTGAGTGAGTGAGTGAGTGAGTGAGTGAGTGAGTGAGTGAGTGAGTGAGCATATATACATATATCCATATATACATATGTACATATATATACATATATGCATATATACATATATGCATATATGCATATATGCATACATATATACATACACACATATAATATATATATATATATATATATATATATATATATATATATATATATATATATATATATATATATATATATATATATATATATATATATATTATAGATATATATTACAGATGTGTGTATGTATATATGTGTGTATATATATGTATATGTGTGTTAACAGTACATAACAAGATATATATATATATATATAAATGTATATATATATATATATATATATATATATATATATATATATATATATATATATATATATAAAATAAAATATAAAATATAAAATATATAATATATAATATATAATATATAATATATAAATATAGATATAAATATAGATATAAATATAGATATAAATATAGATATAAATATAGATATAAATATAGATATAAATATAGATATAAATATAGATATAGATATAGATATAAATATAAATATAAATATAAATATAAATATAAATATAAATATATATATATATATATATATATATATATATATATATATATATATATATAATGTATAATGTATAATGTATAATGTATAATGTATAATGTATAATGTATAATGTATAATGTATAATGTATAATGTATAATGTATAATGTATAATATATAATATATAATATATAATATATAATATATAATATATAATATATAATATATAATATATAATATATAATATATAATATATAATATATAATATATAATATATAATATATATATATATATATATATATATATATATATATATATATATATATATATATATATATTGTACATGTATTCTAAATATAAGAAAGAATAAGAAATGGAATATGAATTTAAATATGGATTTAAACAAAAAAATAAACATACAAATTACAAATTATATATACAAATATATAAACATATATAACATAAGATACAGAATTTACATATACATACATATATTTATGTGTATATATATACATATAAATAAGTATATATATCCCTAATCCGTTGCTTGTAGTGAGTGAGTCTAATTTTGCTTGGTCTTTTCTTCCCTTTTTCCTCTTCTTTCTCTTCTTCACATTCCCTTCTGTCCACTTATCGTGATCGTTAACTCATTTTTAGCCTTTTCCCCTCAATACTTTACTATAGTGTTATATGACCTTTGATGTCTGGGAAATTTATTTGTTTTAACCATTACCTAATTACACACACACACACACACACACACAC